TCTTGGTATGCAATGCATACTGCACAATAAAGCAGAAGTGAGAAGCATTTTTTTCTGAATGATCGATGTATATATAATTAAACTTAAAAAGACTTTGATGTGTGAAGTTTAGGAAATTAAGCCAGAAATTTCACTCAAGACACCTTTTTCGGATTTATAAAATAAATGACAATGATTGCTATTGATGAAAAACCACAGGCTCAGGATTAGCAATTCGCAGAACACTAAGGCTCCAGTATCAACAGTATTTTGCACAGAAGGTCCTTGTTTAGGGACTTCCTGTTGTGGGGTGATAACTGTCTCTTGCATTGTCACCCTGCAACTATACGCGAATGTGCCAACGCGCATTGCACGGGCATGTTCCACCATTGTTACCATCAAAAAGTGGGTCGAAAGTAATGCAGAGCAACCAATGCTGGAGAGTATTAATACATATCTCAGAGATGAAACCAAGCACTTCTGACACTCATGTATTAATTATCTCTTGCAAATAATAGTCTACAAGGTCAAGTTACTGTAGCTTGTGTGTGACTGTCCTAAACATACCAATATACTGCCCAGTTGGCAGACTAATTGTAAAATTACAGATTAGGCTATGGTTTTATGTAACCTGCTGATACTACTACAAGATCACTGTGGGGAAAAATTATCACATCTAGGATATCAGATTAAGTCAGAAAATGAATGCACCTCTGGGGGTCTGTTTTCACACACCCCTGCTGCAGGTAATCCACAGCACACAGGATAAGTGAAATCAAGTCAGTGGAGGTAAGACACCCCACAGAGCTTATCATATATCAACAACATTTTTAACACATTATAATCATTAAGTATTCAACATTAAACAAGTTGCATTCTACAGGCTCCCTAACTTATATAAAAAAAAGTATCCAACAAGAATATTAAATACATTTTTCTGCACACCATCTCCAAGCAGTTAACCTCTTACTACTGATGAAGCATGTCTTGGCTGTCACCATTATCCTTCTGTGCCTGAACCAAGCTGAACTAGATGTCTAGAGCCAACTCTTTAGTCTCAACTCAACTAATCAGAGTCATAAACTCCCAGTGCAAAGCAAATAAAGTCTCTGTCATACAATAACTTATCTTAAAGTTGATTTATACACCTGCAGATTAGACCATGGGAGTATTTTCTTTCTCAACAGCCTGATCTAAAACAGATTCCAGTTTTTATGGCAATGACAAAATCTGGCAAATATTATAGATCAAAAACAGGTACCAACTGAAAAAATATCATGTGAGAAACAACAGAAAAGGCAGTTCTATAGCTCCAAACACATGCTCATGAGGTCCTCAAGCAATCACATTTCCATCCCATGGAATAGAATCCAAATCACTTACTATCAGGAAAAATAAATCCAGCAACAACAAATACACACAAAGATTATTAATGACAAACATGTAAAATAAATCTTCTCTATAGAGTCATGTTTGAGGTGTGTATGGGCAACATTTATAAACTCACTTGTAATTAAAGCAAACCTGTGGGCACTCAAATCGGTAAAGTACAAATTAGCTGCTATCTCCAGCTGCTTGCACTATGGTTTGGTCTCAGTAGAGTGCCCCTATACCCAAAAACTCAAGTCTCAGTTATGAAGCGGTAACGTGGTCGCTGTTTCTGTCAAGGCTGTTTGCCTCTTGCATTATACTACTGGCTACTCCCTGCAAAATATGGCCTCATTAAACAATGTTAAAGCTGAGTAGGACAGAGGGGGCCATGGAAGGTGGGCACTATTTTACATCAAAGTATCAGGCAAGCACATGAAGGTTCTACTTTTGTGTTAAATTTTTTGGGGGCCTACTGGTTTGCTTTAACTTTTATAAAGCCAATCAACCAAAGAAGTTATGAGAGTCTCAACTATCAAACAAAAGAAAAAAGATGACAATTACAGATGTAACCAGTATAATGCACTTTATGAGTAACTTATAAATAACTTACAGTAGTGGTAGCATTTGGCTTTGCACCATTTTGGAGCAGGACATTGATTATATGGGTATGTCCCTGTTGGGCAGCTTGATGTAAAGGAGTGTAGCCATTCTGTTGAAGGTAAATAACACAAACAATGCAACAAATTAATATAGAAATGTAAAGAATGGTATTCAAACATTAGTTCTTTTTTAATGCAAGAGGTGCTCATGGCAATGTAAAACTAAAGGAAAGACTGCAACTAGCTTTAAGTAAGAGCAGAGACCCAGCAGAGACCCCATGCTAGGGACAAGCAGCTCTTGGGCTCTTTTCTTGTAACAGAGCCCCAGGGTCTTTATATCTCCAATACAAACAAAACAAGCTCTTCTGGCAAGTGCCAGAGTTGCCAGATTACTAATTCAAGCCTTGTTCTCATCCATGAAGTGAGACAGCAAGACTTCATAATGTCTCTTGTGCAAAGAAATAGGTCTGATTTATAAACTGAATAATTTAAAACATGCAGTATATAGACAGAAAACGAGCTGAGTTATTATCTCAGTCACACTTAAGTACAACCATACTAAGAATCTTATTAACCCTAGTCTTAAAAATGTGTAACTGTACACATTCTACATACATCAAACTCTTTATTTGTTTGGAGGCTGGCAGACTATCCAAGAAAGGTACAAAAAATGAAAGCTGACCAGAGAATGCCTTTAGAAGTAGGGTTATAGGGTTATGACTGTCAAGAGACCTTTCTGCTATGACTCATTAATACATCACACAGTAAATTCAGCCCTACAAACAACAAATAGTTGTTACAAAATGTATTACCTTTGTTTTAGCTGTGACACAAGCTCCATGCGACAGAAGAAAATTCACCATCTTAATGTTCCCATAGTGACATGCTACAATTAATGGCGTATAACCCAGCTGGAAGAAATAGATTTATTTAGTAAAAACCAGAAACACCAATAATAGCTTGTGGCCTTGTGACATTGAGATAATTAAAGGAAATGCAGACATGTACATCAATGAAATCTTCATTAAACTTAGTCTGATGAACATTTTTATACATTATATATGCAAGCCACCAATATAATGTACAAAGCATACATTTCAAAAATCTCCAAAACTTTTACCCATCTTATTCTGGGATGAATCCATACAGCATAGACACTTTTAATAGTTTAGTTTTAGTTAATATTTTTAATTTTAATTTTGGTAAATTCCTTTCTTCATGGTTACCTTAGTCTGAGCATCCAAATTGGCTCCATGTTTTGCTAATATTTCAGAAACATTGACCTTGTCCTCCTGGGCTGCCAGGTGCAATGGAGTCAGTCCATTCTGTGTAAGAAAAAAAAAACGTACATAAAAAATATACTAAACAGATTACTGTGGCTCTGTTACGATTCATAAATTAATTATAAAAGATACTGCATGTAAAGCTCACAATATACATTGCATGTAGACTGTTCAAGCTTCATGCAATCTCCTCTAGATTTATCAAATCTATGTAATATGAGGACCAACCAAACCTATCCAATCAATCTATATACATTCATGGATGCAGGCCCTTAAACTACATAGTTGTTGGTGTATCTAAAGCAGTTGTACAGTCCTATTGTAAAGTATATGGTGAGCTTTCGATGAATTGTGCATGTTTAATTCTCCTGCACAGATATAATATATATGCTTTTGACTTGCATTGAAGTTTATACATACTGAAGGTCACAAAATGATTAACTGTTTTTAATGATCATTTTGTTTAGGAAGCGAAAATAAAGAGGAATTACTCACCTGATCCTTGGTCCCGTCTGGCTACTAGAGTGGTGCCCGCAGCCTCTTCCTCCCCGGGCTCTGGCGGTCTAAATACCCGTTGTGTCATCACATCTAATAGGTCTATTAGATGTAACTAAAATAACCACTTGTTACAACCAAGGTATGCAGAATACCATCTCTGAACGCACAACACGTCGATCCTTGAAGCAGATGGGCTACAGCAGCAGAAGACCACACCGGGTGCCAATCCTGTCAGCTAAGAACGGGAAATGGAGACTACAATGCGCACAGGCTCACCAAAATTGGACAATAGAAGATTGGAAAAAGGTTGTCTTGTCTGATGACATTGGTAGGGTCAGAATTTTGGCATAAACAACATGAAAGCATGGATCCATCTTGCATTGTATCAATGGTTCATGCTGGTGGTAATGGTGTAATGGGGTGGGGGATATTTTCTTGGCACATTTTGGGCCCCTTAGTACCAATTATACATCGTTTAAACACCACGGCCTACCTGAGTATTGTTGTTGACCATGTCCATCCCTTTATGACTACAGTGTACCCATCTTCTGATGGCTACTTCCAGCAGGATAATGCATCATGTCACAAAGCTCACATCATCTCAACCTGGTTTCTTGAACATGGCAATGAGTTCACTGTGCTCCAATAGCCTCCACAGTCACCAGATCTCAATCCAATAGAGCACATTTGGGATTGGGGTGGAACAGGAGATTTGCATCATGGATGTGCCGCCGACAAATCTGCAGCAACTGCGGTATGTTTCCAACACCTTGTTGAATCTATGCCACAAAAAACCCATACAGTGGTAGGTGCACTGTGCCGCAGTGTATAGCCAGCCTGTGCAAATCCATGATAGGCTGGTTGAGTATGTAAGCACACCCCACTGTTTCCATGCATATCAGGAGGGTCATAGGGTCTGAGTTTGGGGCAGTAAGTCCCAGTATGCATGATGTAAATAGTGGAATTTGTGTATTCACCTGTGCAGCTGCTGCTTCAGCCAGCCCATCATTTATTTGTACAGGCTGGCTATACGCTGCTGTATGGTGCAGCAGTCACCCTGGCAAAAGAGCACTGGGATGTACCCTGTACTGCCCTCTTGTGTAAAAGGCCTAATAAGACAGTTTACTGCAGAGTGGTTAGGACTTTTGCCTTATAGGCCTGGGGGTCCCTGGTTAAAATCCCTGTAAAGACGGTTACACCACCCTGCATGACTTTCTACACAACCCCAGGTTGCTCCAATGGGATGCCTTAGTGGCCAAATCCCAACCACCCTCTCGGGAAATTTTCCGATACATTCAAATTAGGCATTGGATTCAATCCTTATTCCCTAGTCCCTTGACCTACCCACCCCTTACATCCTTTGAGCGCATATGCCTCCGCACCCCCTGCTCTCCGAACCTCATCTCCCTTCTATACTCCGAGATCAACGCCCTCTCCTCCACCTCCACTCATCGGTATGTGACAAATTGGCAGCAGGTCCTCGATCATACTAGGCCCTTGGAGGAGTGGGAGTCTATTTGGGATGCGGTTTCCAGGTGCTCTAGAAACACCATCACCCAAGAAGCGGCCTATAAGGTGCTCTCCAGGTGGTATCTCGTGCCCTCCCGCCTCTGTCACCTCCACCCGACCTGCTCTAACACATGCTTCAGAGGATGCCAGGCCTTGGGGGATGTACTGCACATCTGGTGGACGTGTCCATTCGTGGCCAGATTCTGGACCAAGATCTAGACTCCTCCACTCCATCTTCAATATATCACTATCTAAGGACCCCTGGCAAGCCCTCCTCCATGTCAAAATCCCACAGTTCACGCGGCCCCAATGGCAATTGACCACCTACATATTTTTAGCGGCTAAACAAACTATAGCTCATTCCTGGAAGAAACAAGCCATCCCATACCCTGAATTCCAACAACGTATACAAGGATTCTTTGTTAACGAAAATCTCTCGAGCATACTACTGGACACGAGTCAGAGATTCCATACCATATGGGACCCATGGTCCTCCATTTTCCTATCCTCCCTTGATCCGGTAACGCGATCCCTCATTCGCTAACCAGTAGAAAGGCATCATGGCACACTCACAAACTAGCATGTAAAACAACTTGTCTCACCACTAAGGACAATGACATATCCAAAAACCTAATAAAACATATTGAAGAGAAAATCCCTGTAAAGACACTATCTGCATGGAGTTTCCCCATAACCTGCTAACCAGTAATATTTGGAGGTCTGGCAGGAGGGAGGTAGGTAGGTAGCCAAGGGAAGAGTCACGTATTTCTCCATAACCAGTAACACTGGGAAGTAAAATCGCAGAGTGAGGCGCCAGGTGAAAGCAGGGAAGGTACATACATCTTACTAAAGTGACCCTTAAATCATGTACAATGCTAATATACGGTTGCATTTATATATTTGCAGTAATGAATAGGAAATCGTCATCCCA